GTTAGTCACTGGGACAGGTTTTGCATGCAGCCTCCTAGTGGTTCAGAAAAATGTTATAAAAGTCATCAGTATTGCGTCCATTGAATTCAATCTGCCAGTTAATATTGTTAAAATATTCAGATATCTTTACAAAGTTACTTTTATGATAAATGCGTTTTTCAATGTGTTTCCCTACAACTGCAGCGCTTTTAACAACGTAATCCCATTGAAGGACGTGGTGAGATTTCTTTAGAGACGTTAAAAGTGCATGGTGAATAATATCGAGGACCCGATTTTTATTTTCGGCTATAATTAGATCAAGAGTGTTGTTTGATGTGATTTCATCAAGTTGAAAAGTGGGCTTAGTAACAAATTGTATCAAAAAACGACTCGACGACATCTGTGTTGGTATTGTAAGGGTATCTAGCATGTGTGGCCTGTATATGCAACCCAGAAGGATGTGTTCGGAACCGTATGATATTACGCACTAAATTTGTTCAGGGGAATCTAATAAAACAATTTCGCTTACTTCATTAGATTTTAATGAAGTGTCGACATAAATAACAACCCAACCTCCTCTACTGGACACGCGATCTTTTCTGAATAACATATAGTTTTCAATGTTAGTTATCGATGATTCATGCCACCAAGTCTCTGTAACAAAGATTATTTTAGGCTTGTATGTCTCAATTGATGCTAGAAACTCTGGCATTTTATTGTTAAGGGAATTAACATTGGTATGACTTGCCTTTGCTTAGTTGTTTTTTAAATTAAGAGGCTCATTTTTCTTTTTCAACTCGTCTCGTAATTGTCTATCTGGTCTTCTTTGTGCTTCTGTCAGATCTGGATTAACATAGAAGCCTTAAAATCTACGCCGGGCTGCTTTAACAATGTTATATCTGGTGACAGTGCCTGTCGTCTCAACTATAATAGGTGGAGGTTTATTCGGATCTTTTGACCGTTAGCGAAAACATTTTATTATATTGTCCGAATTAATTTTAACGTTGGTTATAAGCTCTTTTTATTTTGTTCTCATCGTCTACTTGCTTCTCGTAAGGTTCTTTTTTAGTCAATGCTGGAATGCCAAAGACGATAAGATTTTTGTCACGCTTCATTTTATCTTTGCTCTCATTAGCTACAAAATTAAGCATATCTAGTTGAGCTGGCGTTTTAGTTAATTTTTTTTTGACCACAACGTTCCATGCTTCCGTTGTAATGAAAGAAGCAATGGCTTTTTCCTCAAGTTGTTGGATTCGCTTTGTGAGGGCAATGATCGTCGATGTTTGTTCAACAACTGTTTTCGAAAGCGCTTCTACTTGCTTTAGAAGCCTCTCGTACTTGTTATTCAACTCAGAAATGTCGGCTTTTGGAGGCATATAGCGTGAATATGTTTAAACAACAGTATATATAGTTTATATATTATTCAAATTATATGTATATATATACAGGGGCGGGTTTAGGGTTAGTCTTGTTAGGCGCATTGACTAACATCTTTTTTACTAAACTAAACAACTATCAGGCTAATGAAATATGTTATATATTTTTGAGATTTTTGAAATAAAGTCTCTATTTTTTTGGTCTAAACAGCAATATCAATTAAACTATGATAAGTATACGCGCACGCAATAGCCCCGTCTTGTAATTTTTTTTTTCGGTAGCGTAACTTCGGACCAAGTTAGTCAAGAAATCTTGCGACTTATCTGGCCCGTTTATTTGGCTGACGAGATTTCAAAAAATTATTAAAGTCCTTTAAGTTTTTTTATTTTTACTGTTCGGTAACGTAACTTAAGGCCAAGTTAGTCAAAAAAATCTTGCGACTTATCTGGCCCTTTTATTCGGCTGACGAGATTTTAAAAACTTGTTAAAGTACTTTAAATTTTTTTTTTTTTTTTTCGTTCGGTAGCGTAACTTCAGGCCAAGTTAGTCGAATTAAATATATGATGATTGCCCCCTGACTAATTTAAAAGAAGCTTTTTCTAACAATAATTCTTTGAATGTTTTTAGAAACTTTTGAATAATTTTTGATATGGCATGCATTTACAATCTGTAAGGTATTTGCTTGAAAATGGATTTATTGAAAATTTACAAACTCTTTATTCAGAATTGTCAGTAAAGATTAATCTCCTTCATAAGTCAGATTTTTATCAGTTGTTGACTGTTCATAAGTCAATAAAGAGTAGAGCACAACATTCCTCAGGAGTCAAGAACAACTAGGCGGTGAAGTAAGATTTACTTTATTTATCCTAAAAAGTAAAAAAAAAAATTAGAATTTGTAAACATATTATCCCTGCGTTCTTTCATTTGGGGATGTAAATTTATATAGTAATAATATTATGAAATACATTTTTTGCCTTGATCTAATTGGTTCAACTTTTTACCAAACTGATTTATTGTAAATAAATGATTAAATCCATTTTTATTTTCCATTGAGCTTATTGTAGAATTTTTTTTTACTTTAAAAATTTTTAATTGCCCTTTTATACAAATCTGATCAGATCTGTTTCAGCTCTGATCAGTTGCAGTGATCAGTTACAGCTCTGTTACAGATTTGATCAGTTACAGCTCTGTTACAGATTTGATCAGTTACAGCTCTGTTACAGATTTGATCAGTTACAGCTCTGTTACAGATCTGATCAGATCTGGTTCAGCTGAATCAACTGACAATTGCTTATTTAGCTCATTTTGGATTTATCTGTGTGGTGATAATAGTCTGGCAATGGATTTAAGAATACTGACAGCAATTGATTTATATTTAAATTGCTCTTTTTACAGTAATCATCTATTGTTTGTGCTTAATGTATCCAAATGAATTTTCATCAATTGATAATTTGTTAGCAGTGTCTGTATCCACACATTTTATAGACTCAGGAAAATTAAAAAAATGACCTTGTTAAGGAAGAAACATTTTATATGTGTAAAGAATTTTTATGGTCTGTGTTTCTTTATGTTCTTGTTCTTTCAACTGTGTGTTCTACAAGATTTTAGTGTTACTATAGAACAGTTCTCTCCTAAAATATAAAATTATGTTTAATCTTAATATTGAACCTTGTATTCTATGTTCATCATCAGATATTGTTAATTTGTTGTTTCGTTTGAAGGCAAATATAAAACTTGATTCAAAATTTGTTCCTCATGAAACTTCTTTTCCAAAAACTTTTATCATTAAAACAATTTTCATGGCTTAGATATTCACCTTCTGAAGATGGCGCATTTTGTTTGTGTTGCGTTTTGTTTAGATATAAACGCAACACAAACAAAAAGCTTCTAGATTTAAAAATTTGTATTCTTAGTCATTCAAATATAGGCCAGATGCTGTGAGCACTTTTAATAGACATTACCATGGGAATAACGGGAATAATTATGAATATCACTCAGCTGAAATATTTATGAACATTATCATGCAGTACAAATTCTACATTATAATGCCTGGACCATATTCGCAGTTTTAAATACTATGATGAATGGAGATATTTAAAATATAGATATTTTAATAAAGAATATGAAAAGGAGATTGCTTTAAATTGTAAGAAGTTGTTTTGTGAGAAAATCATTTTGTTAGGGCAACTTAATATAGCTTTCAGAGGTCATTATGATGGTCATTGGCAAATATTCTTTAGTGGGTGGAGTAGGTAATTTTATTGAACTTTTAAACTACAGAATCAGAGGTGGGGATAAAATTCTTGAACTTTATCTTAATAGCTGTGCAAAGAATGCATGTTATATTTCTAATTCCTCACAGAATGAATTAATAAGTTGTTGGGGAAAGTACATCAAGAATATTTTGGTTTCTGAAAGAGAAGAAAATCAATTTTTTCAGTTATTGCTGATGAAGCTTCCTGACTGCTCCAATCAGGAATAATTGTCTTTAGTAATTAGATTTATAGACAATTCCTATGATGTTAGGGAAAAATTTATGTGTTTTTTACATTGTAAATTAGATACTGAATAAAGGTTTGTATATACACTGTATATACAAATCTTTATTCAGTATTTTTAAGATCTTCTTCAAATAGAAAGTTTGTATAGTTTTTAAATTAAAAATTATAATTATTTTATTTTTTATAGTTTTATTTATTTAAAAGGATTATTTATTTTATTTTAGTTGTTATTTTATTTTTCGAAACTGGTAGCGTTATGTACTGTATATATATATATATATATATATATATATATATATATATATATATATATATATATATATATATATATATATATATATATATATATATATATATATATATATATATATATATATATATATATATATATATAGACATATAATAATATATTTGTATTTTTTATTACGAATATAAATTTCATATAATTTATATTAATTTTTTATTAATAACTTTTTTTATTTTACTTTTTTTACAATACAATAAACGCAATAGTTTCTCTACTTATTTATCTAGAGCAGATTAGCGTCGAATTCTAACGTTGGTCCAACCATGGAAATATTATAGATGGAAGTGCAACTCTTAAAAATATCAAAGACTCCGAATACCGTCACAAAAACCATGCGTGAAATATAAATAATCGGCAAATCAAAAATATTTTTAAAAAATGGCTTTTTATTTACGCCTATATATTAATTTGAATTTTAAGTTAATGATGTTTTAAACAGATACTTCATGCTTATATATATAAAAAATAGTTTAGTTAGAATGTTGAAAAAAAAAAGTTAGCTAGAATGTTGAAAAATAGTTAGTTCTATAATTTAAATGAGGAGACTGATTTATATATATATATATATATATATATATATATATATATATATATATATATATATATATATATATATATATATATATATATATATATATATATATATATATATATATATATATATGAGTTTGAGTTTGAGTTTGATATATTCAGTAATTAAATTTATACATTTAAACCGCAATAATGCTGTAACAATAATTAAAAAATATATACATATACATATGTATATATTTAAATGTTAAATTATTTATTTGATGAAGAGACTTTTCCAGGAGTCTCTATGCTGATTTAACAGTTTATCGCATCGAAATCCGATCTTTAAATGCATTTAAAGATGGAGCGTTTACCGCGTGCTGTGTGAGAGAGTTCCAATGGACCGCAACTCGGTTTGTGAAAAAGTTTGATCTCTCCTCACATCCTCTTACGAATTGACGATCAAGCTGCTTGTCATGGCCGCGTAGGTTGTACACCTCACGCCCAATTAGTTGGTGCTGTGGGACCATAAATTGAACTTCGTCATAGTTGTTGAAAATCTTGAATTGTTCGATTATATCACCACGCAAACGACGTTCTTTGAGGGTGGTTAGTTTGAGTACCTGCAGACGCTTTATTTTATCAAAATGGCTGATGGATGATATTGTCTTAGTGACGCGGTCTTGAACATCCTCAAGTAACTTAATGTCTGTTTCGAGATACGGGGACCAGGCTTGAATGGCGAATTCTAGATGTGGCCGGACATAAGATATATAGAGTGTGCGCCACAAGTTTAAGTTTCTACTGCGGAAAGCATTTTTTAGCTTTCCTAACATGCGATTGGCTGCAGATGCTGCTTTTTCAACTTGTGCTCTGACTTTCAGATCGTTTGATATGAGAACTCCAAGGTCACATTCAATAGTTGTAGTTGCAATAGTGTGGCGCATGCCATCAGCGGTTTCCATAGAGTAGTCATGTGATAAACGTTTATTAGGACGACCTGCATGCATCACTTTACATTTATCAATGTTAAAGTGCATGAGCAAAGTGTTTGACCATGTAACCGCGTTATCAATATCTGTCTGAAGCGTTGTGTTATCCGATGCCGACTTTATGATCCCAATAATTTTGCTGTCATCAGCGTATAGCATTATCTTGTGAACGATACTATCAGGAAGGTCGTTAATAAACAAAATAAAAAGCAGTGGCCCTAAGACAGAACCCTGCGGAACTCCACTTGTGACGTTCTTCCACTCAGAAACCTGTTCTCCCAAGACAACACGTTGCTTACGAATTTTTAGCCACATTTTAATCCAAAGTAGCAGCTTTTTGTGAATGCCGTATGCTTTCAGTTTATGTAGAAGACGTTTGTGCGGGACTTTATCGAATGCCTTAGCAAAATCTGTGTAGATAATATCAGCACTGTAACCTTGATGCATAGCCTCGGTAAGTATGTCGCGAGCTTCGAGGAGGTTAGTCAGACATCCCTTTTTACGAATAAAACCATGCTGATGCTTGGAGATTAAATTGTTTTCCACACAGTGCGCCATAATATGTTTGTGAATTATTTTTTCCATTACTTTGCACGGTATTGAGGTGAGGGAGACCGGTCGATAATTGTAGGCCTTAAGCTTGCTCCCTTTCTTAAAGATGGGAGTAATGTTTGATTTTTTCCAATATTCAGGTACAGAGCCAGACAATAAAGATTGTCTAAAAATAGAGTTGAATGGTATTGCAAATGCTGCTGCACAGTTACGTAATACACGTGGGTGGATTCCATCTACACCAATTGATTTAGTCTCTTCAAGATTATTTAGATGACTTTGAATGTCTTCAATTGTGAACCAATTTTCATTAATTTTACATGTTGCTTGAGTACGATCGGGAAATGTTGGCATACTGCCATCAGGTTCAGTTTCAAAGACAGACTGAAAATAGTTATTGAGGGTGGAGCAAATTATGTTTTTATCTGTTGTAATAATGCCATTGTCAGTTTCGATTGAATGAAGAGGATCTTTGACTTCTTGTTCACTTCTGACATACGCATGCACATTTTTTGGGTGAGATTTTGAATCTTTGACAAGCTTCTCCTCATGATCGGTTACCGCCTTATTTATAGTCTTTTTAACTATTTTGCAAGCAAGTTTATGTTTTACTCGAAGTGCTTCGTGTGTTTCGCGACCAGCAGCAATATACTTACCCCAGAGCTTTTCTTTTTTTTTGATAGTTTTAAGTACTTCTGGCGTAATCCACAACGGTTGATTTTTATAGAATGGTGAGGTTGTTGTTGGAATAAATTTATTGACTGCGTCGTTGTAGTTTTTAACTAGAATCTTGTAATTTTCATGCACAGAGCTTCCATTAAAAGTTGTTATCCAATCTATAGATGATATGCATGTTGATATGGAATTGTAGTCGGCTTTGCTCCAGATGAATCGTTTTTTGATCGGAGTAGTTGTTGTATTGTGCCCGGTTAAAGCAAAGAGTCCGTGTATCATGCAATGTGCTTGACCTCCTGGTGTATCGCCTAGATGATCTGCTCTAGTGATTTCTATGGAGCGGTCTGGTTTGTCAGAGATTATTAGGTCAAGCGTGCTACTAAAAGGGGCATCCCTATACTGTCGATATGTTGGAAATGTAACCAGTTGGGTAAGATGACACTCATTGAGACATTCTTGGAATTTTAGATCGGTTGGGTGCTTGTGGGCTACATAAGCAATGGTTGCTACAGCACTTCCTTCTTCAATGGATTTGTAAGAGGTTTCTTTAAGATTGAAATCTCCATACAGAAGCATTGATGAACACTCTAGTTTTTGAAGAACATTTTTTGCTGCTAATATGGTAGCTATAACAGAAACAAAGTAGTCATCATTGAAGTTGTGAGGGCGATAAATACAACCGATGAGAATGACATCTTCCCCGATTTTGATCATTCGCCATATTTGTTCAATTTCAGGCGAGTTAAGTTGGACAACATTTGTTTCTTCAGCAACGACACTATCTTTGATGTAGATGGCAACACCGCCTCATCTGCCGATTCTGTCCTTACGATGTAATTGATAACCGGCGATTGATGTATCAGAATCGTTTGTGAACCAGGTTTCAGTAAACCATATGACGTGCGGTAACAGTGATGGATCTCTGATATTAGCTAGCCTGGCAACAAGTTCATTATGTTTATCTTTATTAAGTGAGCATGGATTATTGGCCCAGTAATAAAGTATATCAGAAAAATCGATAGTTGTTGGATCTCTAAGCAAAGCTTTATTATGTTGTTGGCTGTATTGTGATTGCAAAGTTCGATTAGGTTTTGGTCGTTTAGGTTTTAATGCTTTAGTTTTTAACAATTTTCTGTCTGGCATAATTTTTTCGTCAGAATTTAGTTCATTGGAGAATAATTTTTTTTGATTTGGTATTGAGGATGGTATGATTTGGGTTAACGTAATATTACCAGGTACCTCCTTAGAGGAGCAACATGATAAATGTATTCTTGAGTTGTTTTTTATTGTATTAGTTTTAATTGTAGGATTTATTGGCGTGTACAGAAACCGGGTGGTGATGAATTGCTATTGGACAATTTTAATTTTCTTAACCTCAGTACCTCTGATACCAAAGTAGTGAGTACCAGTAAATCTGTTGTTCTCTCGCGGTATTTCTTTGTTTAGATTGTTTCTTTTCGTGAGTAGCTCTTTCCTTAAACTGCGCTCTGCACTGGTTAAATCAGGTTGAATAAATACATTGTTAAAGCCTTTGCTTTTAGCTAAGTTCTTGGCGAGTTTTAAAATTTCTTTTCTTATTAAATTTCCGTTTACAATTTCGACAATTAAAGGTGCAGGTTTTAGGGTACTGACAGATGTTTCAATAGTTTCATCTTCTTCGTCCATGTTTGTTAAGTTTTCCTTTTTTTGTGCATGATAGTGATGTTGTTTCGGTCTTATTCGATAAGTTCTTGATATGGATACATTATTATTTGGCGGTAGCTGCAGTTCACTTAAAAGATTGCAAACGAGATTGTAATCATCATTTTTTTTGTGTTCTTCTTCTGATTTAATTGATTCTTTTAAAACTATGTTATTTGCTTTATGATCTTTTTCTGATTGAAATTTTGAAACTGCCATTAAACAGTTAGTTTCTTGTGCATTGAGTTTCCTTGATTTAACTATGTTGCTGAAAAGCGGAATTACAACATTATCTGGCTTCTTTGTTTCTATTGCTTTAATTCTTTCGCTTAGATCAATTATTTGCTTTTCTTGTTTATCAAAAACCGCCTTGAAAGCCTTGAACATAGATTTGATTGCTACTGCGAAGTGCTCTTGTTTTAAGACTGCAGCTTTTTGATTAGGGTCAGGTAGTGGAATTTCTGCCTTAGCACACAATTTGGTCATTAATTCACCAAAATTGTCAAGATCCAACAAATCGGGCAACATTGCAGCAGTTGCCATTGGATGGTCCAAGCTGATATTGATGGTGGGAGGGCTACCACGCTAAATAACAGTGGATTACCTCCCTGATGTGAAATATTTATTGATTGATTTAATTATGTACTTATTACACAGGGACTAAAAAGTTTCAGTATGTGTTTATATATATATATATATATATATATATATATATATATATATATATATATATATATATATATATATATATATATATATATATATATATATATATATATATATATATATATATAATTATATTTAGATGAATAAAAACAACTGATTAGCGGGACTTAAAGTTTCATGCCCGAAGGCAATCATCAGCCGTTAATACAAACAAAAAACGTAAACAAACCGTTACAAAAACGTAAAAATTACTGTAGAATGACATCTGACGTTATAAACAAATCTACGTAAAAAACAAATCAAAAAACAAAAAACAAAAAGCCGTTATAGTTTATTAGTCCCCTGTGTCAAATAAAGATAATAGGAATTTTTTTGAATGCCGACACTGAGATACGATTTCGTTTTTTTTATTCAGTAGATTTTTTCCATTATGCGATAAAATTACATATTTTTCGTAGAGACAAAGGTGGCATATTCTTGTTGCTAGATTGTAAGGTTTACAACGTTTGACAATTTTCCATTCTATAATGGGCTTTATGTTTTGGTCTTTTAAACTCCATATTTCCTTAGATAGTTCTGTGTCATTTCTATATTTAATTGATGCAAATGATTTGAGATGGTTTGCGTATCTTAGTTTAAATGGTGTATTACTAATGCCAAAATATACTTTTTTATTACGATCATGATGACTGGAACTTACGGTTGCTTGATAGACAATATTGTTAGATAAACATTGATTGTTCAAAGGGCAAAATGCTTTATCTACGCAGTTACATTGGTTGGTTTTTAATTGATTTTTGTTGTGTAAAATTTTGGAATTATGCGAATTTATGATAGATTTTAGGTTAGGCATGCAACTGTAGCTAATCTTAACAGAATTTCGGTTGAATATTTTATGTAGCTTGTGACCGGCTGGAAAATGTAAGTCAATAAGGGCTAGAAAACGGTTTCCTATTTTTGTTTTGACGTTTAAGCTGTACGGAGGGTTATACCAAATAATATTGCGTTTACGTTGCTTTTTTTGTTGATTTTGACTTGAGATTATTTGTGGTTGGTAGGTAAGGTTCGATTTGTATCCCGATTTTTTTAAAGCCTCTTCATACGGTGGAATAGCCTTTTTGAAGAAATTTTCATTAATTGACATGGAAGATAATCTTTGTTCGATATTGCGAGGGATTGCTTTTATTATGCTTGAAGGGTGGTTAGAATTAGAGTGGATGTACCTTATTTGATTATCAGGTTTAAAATATGGTTGAAACGTACCGTTACTTAGATTTAACGTAACATCGAGGTAGTTAACCATTTTTAATTTAGATTGAATGGTGATTTGAAGATCGTTTTTTTTTTAAATGAGTGTTATGTGCTTTTTGATTTTTTCCATTTCCTGACCGTTTTTGTTCTTGAATACAGCAAGACCGTCGTCACGATATAAGCCGAAATTTTCTTTATTATAATGTTGTGAAATTTGATACAGTATGAAAATACCTATTAATTCGCAAACTTCAGCACCATCAAATGCCCCCATTGTTACATCGAACAACCCACCTCTTTTTTTAATCCATGCTTCATTGTTGTTGAAGATAAGAGATTTTCTTGCATGCTTTATTAATGCTTTGTCTTCGCTTTTGATAACGATATGATGGTCAGCAAAATTCATAGCATTGTTGAGGGTGCTATCCTTTATGGAAGGGTAAAAATCGTTAACATCAAAAACTATGAATTTGTATAAGTGCTTATTGGTGATTTTTTTAAACCAGTCTAAAACATTTTGCGTACTTTGCCATTGATTCTAAAAAAGTTTATTTTTAAGTTCGCAATTAATTTTTGTTAAAATTACCTTAGAAATTCGCCCTACCTCATTTTTTGAAGGGTTCAAAAGGCGCACAGATGGATTGTTAGCGAAGTTTTCCTTGTGATCTTTCAAAGTGAAAAAACAGTTAGAGGATCCGTTTATTTCTATTTTTTTATATACCTCGTGGTTGGTTAAAATTTGTTTTCCTTCTTTGTTTATATGGTCCTTTAATTTTGGATTTGCTTTTTTGTATGTAGTGGTAATAGCATTTGTTAACAGATTATTGTAATCTTCTTTAGACAGTTTATACATATTTGATGTTTTGTCAGCATGTGTTAGAGTTTTGTGAGATTTACAATAAACTATAACGGCTTTTTGTTTTTTGTTTTTTGATTTGTTTTTTACGTAGATTTGTTTATAACGTCAGATGTCATTCTACAGTAATTTTTACGTTTTTGTAACGGTTTGTTTACGTTTTTTGTTTGTATTAACGGCTGATGATTGCCTTCGGGCATGAAACTTTAATTCCCGCTAATCAGTTGTTTTTATTCATCTAAATATAATTATATATAGCTCTATTATTCAGTAATATTGAGCACTGTAACACGTACAAGAGACTTCGTATTATTACATCAAATTTCTTAACCTCGAATATATTCTATATATCGAAATCCATACAAATATATATATATATATATATATATATATATATATATATATATATATATATATATATATATATATATATATATATATATATATATATATATATATATATATATATATATATATATATATATATATATATATATATATATATATATATATATATATATATATAGTTCTATAATTTAAATGAGGAGACTGATTTATATATATATATATATAATTATATATATATAATTATATATATATATATATATATATATATATATATATATATATATATATATATATATATATATATATATATATATATATATATAAATTATGTAAGTGTATTCTACAAAATATAATTCTTCCTGATGAATAAAACTAGATAAGTGTTTTTACTAATTTATTATTGCTCTGTTCTTTAAGAACATTGAGCACTTTATATATATATATATATATATATATATATATATATATATATATATATATATATATATATATATATATATATATATATATATATATATATATATATATATATATATATATATATATATATATGATAAACAAAGTTTTGAGGGAATGCAGGATGGCCACAGCTCCTATAAAATCCTCTAAAGTCCTTTTTTTTCAAAAAACCTTTTCTAAAATTCCCTATTATACTCTAAAAAGGTAAAAATGTGATAAAATCTCCTCTTTTTTATTTTTTCATTTCTTGATGGTAGCATAATTTGAAATTCATGGTCTGCAAAACTGGTTAATGACTAAAATGACGATTGGATTGTAAAGAATCAATTTTAGAAAATCTATGTCATTTAACATAAAAAATTACATCGTTGACCCCTGTCCAAACCCCAGTTATGTAAAAACATTGGCATTAAACCTATGAAAAAACTCTTTAAAATCCTCTATTTCTATTCAA